AGTGTATATCAGTTCAAATTATATTTGCAATGTTTTCTGTAGTTTTCGGTACGCTGAATCCGCTCGTAGCATTTTTGTGTCTATTTCGATTAAGGGTAACTAATTATTTGGGCTCAAAGTTTGAACCCCGTGGGGAAAAGCAGCGTACGTTGGAGTCTGGAACAGAGAGTAGCCCTGACGTAGATTACGGAACGCCTTTTCTCACAGTGTTTTGTTTTGTCGTACGGAGAGGTGTTCGAGATGAGTTCAAAATCGGATTCAGGGAGTTCAGAGTCTTTATCAGAAGAAACTTCTAGTTCTGAACTTGATTATGACATTGAGCACGACGATAGAGCGATGTCTCCAGGTAATGATGCATATAGAAACGCTGGTTGCGTTCAGGAGGAATGGGAAGACAGCCTTGAGCCATATACTGGGGAGCCTTTGGCTGACGAAGAATGGCTGAAAAGCTACTATGCAAGGAGAACCAGGACCGAAAAGCAGTCTGCAGTGTTAAACAACAGATTTAACGGACGTTTGCCCATAAGTTTGTGGTAAGTTTTATTTTTTTGGCATATTACCCTCACTTGAATGTTCGCCAATCTCATCGAAGCCGGGTAGGCCCTCCATATTTTGAGAATCGCCAATCTGCATCTAGGCCTACACTGCCATTCCCATGTTTTTATTTAAAATTAAGGCCCGTATAAAATTCGCTCAAAAACAAGTTTTTCTAGAACTTGAAGTGTAGTTTGTTATAAAATAAAGGAGTGATTTTAAGGATTCGAAGGCGAGGTAGGTTGAACCAAACCTAGTCAAAGTCTAGTAGAATACTGTTTTTTATTTCCGAAAAAAATTTGGCTTAAAATGTAAGATTTAATAAACTGGCCCTCCATTCTTAGGAAATTGATTGTATGTAGTACAGAGATTTTACAAATAAAACCTTTGAAGCAAAAGTATTATTTCATTACAGGTGCAAATGTGAAAATTGCAAAACTGAGCAGTTAACCAAGCCCAATGAATGCAAATGTTGCACTGAGTTGGAAGCAGTAGCATCAGCACTGACAAGTGAAATTGTGGTGGATGAATTTGGCTCTGTGCCTAAATGTATTACAGAGCATCCAGGATTTAGGCCATTGTGCCTAGAGCCCTGGTCACTGAGATTTGCAGCTGATAAATACAAAACGAAGCTCAAAGAAAGATACAAGAAAACAAAATCAGATTTCAGGTTATTTGTGTATATTTATATAGTGAAAAATACAACAACAATAAAGCCTTTGAATTTCCGTAAAAGTGTAGACCTTATATGGTTCAAGGGTCAGCAGTTTTCAAATAACATAAGATCAGGATTAAACCGTTATTTATTTCTATGGTAAAAATATTGTACAGCAAATGTTTAAAACTCCTTGTGGCAATCTCATCAATTAATATAATAAACAACTACAACTAGTACTTAGCTAATGTGGAACCAATAGTGCTGATGACTTTTCTTGATCTTCAGGTTCTTTCGTGCTGTATCATACAGAGAATTTACAAGGCTTGTTCATGGACGTCTGGGAACAGAAAGGATCCCCCTCCCAGCTTGTGCCTACAATGTTATCCGTCAACAATTTTCAGAACAGGACTTAGTTGGTTATCATTCGGAATAATTATGATAATTATAATGCAATTTTTTAATGATGGTAACCTATTGGCCTGAGCTAGTTTTCTAAGGCCATCATGACTGGTCATATTATAACATACTTGATAAAAATCTTATTGCAATGTGTGCTTAAATATTTTATTTTATTTACAAAATACAAGGCTAGAGGAGTGCTTGGCTTCTTTCTTAAGGCTGTTCCAAAAACTTGCCCCCCTAGTAGGAGAAATCCTTTGGTGAATCTTGTTTTTTACAGGGCAAGTTCTGATTTTCTGGTGAATCTTTTTAGCTCTCTATTCAAACATTGTCTTCTTCTAGTAAAAAGGTTTTGCAAATATTCATTGCATATATAATGTATTCAGATTACCCAGGATTTTAATAACAGTCCTATTTCAAAGCCTCTACAATCAATTTATTTCCTTTTTGCCAGGGCAGCCCTATATAAAGTAGAAGCATTTAGGTTCAGCTTTATGATGTTTATGTACAATTTCATTTAAGTCCATCAACGACAATGAGTGTTGCCTCCATCTTCTAATTGTATGGTTCTCTGGATCAAGTTCTTTGTACTAGAAATACAAGAATCATAGGTATCTCATCATTAAAAATTGTTTCAAGCAAGCTACCAACACAATTTTTAACATGTAAATTTATATTGTTTTTTTCTATCAGAAGTTTGCAATCTTGGTTTTCTAGAACACCGTAATTTTCCAAGCACAATTTTCATTATCATTGACTGGTAGCAGAACATGGAATGATATTTACTATATTTACCAGTACTTGTAGATGGGACGGCTTCAGTGACCATTGATTTTCGGGCAATGTGCTTTGCTTTACTGGCAGCTTTGTCCTGTTTATCAAGCATGGTATTCATGGGACAGGGAGTTGACTCTATCAACTCTGCAAGGACAACTGGCAGGCTTTCATTTATAACGGACTCTTCCATGAATTTATAAATTTCATCAACATAATCTGTAAAACCCAAAAATAAATTTTAATAATCTGATTTTATAATTTGCTCTCTAATATTTGCAAATATTATTGGTTAGTGGTCTTCATGTCATGGGTGACACCAATGTTTCATTCAATATGTGATTGGTAACTTATTTCTTTGGTAACAGGAATGATGGATATCAAAGTGCAAGTCTAGCCTCAAATAGATTATGTGAGAAGTCTAAACAACTTTAACTTAAAGGGTAAGCTATAAGTACAGAAAATGGTTTCACAAACCAAAACATTGCTGAACTGTGACAGCTCGTACTGTAGCAACTCCATTCTTAAATTTTGGGTACATCACCCTGTATTGGTTTGTTCCATCTGGTTTACGTTTCGCTTCTCTCTGGAGATTTTTATTAAAATGTAAGCTTGCGAGTATGTGTCTAGAGAAAATAAGTTGAATATTATAGGATACCTTGGAAGTGAAAAGTTATCTCTCAGTAGTCAATTGAGAGTGCGATGAGGGGTTATAAACACTAAAATCTGTTCAATTGACTGTATATAGAACAACAATTTTGGAACACTGCAAACTACAAAACAAAATACGTTAGCTGCAGTT